ACTAGGTGCGTTCCAATAAGTCTTCCTACCAATATGACCATGTTGCGAAAGCAAGGTCAAACAACCTCTACCATATTTACTATCTAAATCTCTTTACTAATGCTAGTAAGATATTGACATAATGGAAGCCACAGTCCACAAACGACCTTTAGGGGGGAATTGGATCGCAAATATTAATGTAAAATCATACTTTATTTTTTAATTAACCCCGTATATAATAATTATCAGTCTGTAACAATATACTAAAGTTGTAAGAATTAAGATTGCCTTTTATGAGCGGGATTATAATAATAAAATGTGATAAATCTCGAAATAACTTGATTCCAATGAAAGATCAATCATTAACCTCAATAAATCATTCTAAATTCTCTTACCTCAATGCTTAGTTAACCTTTTTCTTAATGCCTAGGCTCGACAATTAATGTCGTCAGTGGAGAATGGGTCAATCGGATGAGTGGTCTTGGTGCTGGGCATGATTCATTTTACGAGTATCTTGTAAAAGTAGGTGCATGTTTACAATTTTAACATTGGGCTCATTTGTTTTATCTTGAAAATTCATATTTTCTGCTCGTTTTTTATCATTTAGTCGTCAATTCTCTTCGATGATACTCAATTAAACTTCTTGTTCACCGAGGCAGTAAAGAGCATTCGCTATCACGCACGTCAAGGACGAGCCAAATGTTTTTCAGGGACAGACAACTACCCACCAATTTATTGGAACGTGAATATGTTCACGGGAGCATTGGCCAATTACTGGGTTGATTCACTTCAAGCAGCCTGGGCCGGAGTCCTTGTAATTTTGCCATTTTTCAGACAAGTCATTTTGATTTCAGCTTAATTTTCTTGCTTTCAGTCTCATGTCATTTCAAAGCATTCACTGGAATTATCGCTATACTTCTCTAACATGTATGCGATTTGCTTTACGCTGAGTGCTTATGTTTCTGCTATAGTGCGACATTTTACAATCATTTTTTTCATCGCAGCTACTTAATGTAGAGCAAAATAGACTGCGATCTGGCCAAAAGGCTTTACCGCGATTCTTCTTGAATGCTATTGATTGTATGAATATCAGTTTCTGATTTCTCGCTTTTAATCTCTATGTAATCTGAGATTTGCCCTGACGGAAGGACTAATGTCTTCTTAATCCATTACATCTTGTAAGGTATAACCTCATAAACTAAAGCACTTATCTTCCTTTAAATTGATAATTTTTAAAATGTATCTCGATATGAATTCGTTTAATTCATTTGATTAAATTTTTTAGCACTTGTTCGATTTATACATATTTTTTTATGCCTTCTCGCATCTTGCTATCAGCATTATTTTTTGCTTTTAAATCCCTTTTATTAACTCCACTTAATTAAGGCACTGAATGGGGAGCTAGAAGAAGCCGTGTGTCAACATGCTCTCCACTTCGCCATTTGGCAGCTGTTTGGCTTGATGCCTGAACGCTACAATCTAGTTCTTGAGACACCTGATCTTTATTTTTATCCACTCAGGCCGGAGCTAGCTGAATCTACTTATCTGCTCTACCGCGCCACGAGGCACCCATTTTATTTGCAAGTTGGCGCCACTTTAGTTAACGATATCGATAATTTCACCAGAGAAAAGTGAGTTATGCTCTCCAGCCTCACGTTTTATTTTATTTTCCTTACATAATCTTCTTTTTTGTCTTAAGTATGTTCAGCAAAGGCTCTTTGATTTTGTATGTTAGATCATTCATTAGAACTTTTTACGCAATGCTTATTTTCTCTAAAATTCAATAATTTTTTATAATTTGCCTTGTCCTTAGTTTAATTGCCTCGGCATCTTCTCTTGCTCTAAGGAAAAAAGTATTCCTTCTACCGCTTTCTTTTTACAACCTGTTGCATAATTTCACTTAATACTGCATAAAGCTCAAGCTTGTGGAAGGCCTACAATTTGCATCAATTACCATTACATACACATCATATGCGGTTAAGTGATGATAGTAAATCGCAAGAATAGCATAAATATTTTCCTTGTTCTGGATTCACTTAATGCTGTTTAATTCGTAAGGCTCTATACATTTTTTTTATTAAACTCATCTTTGGGCCGCAATTTCTAGAGAATCGTTATCCACTGTGTATGCTTTGTAAACTACATTGAGCTTAATAGGGCATTTTAAAATTCTCAAAACGAATTAACTTTGGTTTATTCGAAGATGTGAAGACCAGGATGGTGTGGTTTTTAGCATGGTCGCGGTCTCCTTTCGTTGTATAGAAGCTGTTTGACATTGTTTTTGCAACTTGTTCATATTTGGAGGAAGACCTAGAGGAAGGCACCTTGTCCGGAGTCTATAGTATGCATGATAGCTTGCTTATCAAAATGCAAGGTTGGCCCTCACCTAGGTTACATAGCACTCATTGGGAATCCAATCCTTGTAATGCAAAGTACATTTCGGAATATTGCTATTACGCCACACTGTCATGGGCATCACTGGCTCAAAGGGCAGACGTGATTTCCTAGGCAACCCAGTTAAATCCATATCACATTTATAACGGAGTTGTTGATGAGGCAACTTGTATTTTGTGATTACGCTATACTTTTTTACTCATATTTATAGTAGGTTTCGAGATTAGGTAGATCCTCAATTGGCACTAGTCCCCTTATGTCGTATAAGGTAATGCAAAACTAATAGTTAATTTTTTCTGCGCAATGCTATTACTTAGCCTTGTCTCCAAAAATGGTTTTGTCATCCAGAGTGAAATGCTTTCTCAGTTTCGCCTAGGTCTCGTAAGCATCCCAAACGAGGTTCCAATCCTGATCGTGTGAATCGTAGCAACATGTCTCGACCCCGCTACACAGCCGCTGGTTCCGTATGGTCACAGGGTAGATGTGATTTTCAAGGCAAGCCAGACCTGTTCCAACTTACATTTATGGTTTGCTTGTCGATGAGTCACTCTTGTATTTGCAATTACAATCGATGGCATTATTTATTTACCAAAAAAAGACTTACCTTGTGTGACCAAGTTTGCCAATTTCCCAATCAACAATCACTCGGTTTCGAGTGCATCCTCACACAGCGTATAGTTAATGTCGATTATAATGGTAATTTTATGTTTGTCCGTTTGACAATCCCACTATAAATGTAATATTGGTAGACCTCACTTACCTTGGAGTTCACATCTTTCCTATGACCCACGGTAACTTGGGTGTTTAGTGACATCTTAGCGCTTCTGCACGATGCACACCATCCAATTTTGAATCCCATTTGAATGCTGAGCAAAGATAAACCTTCTGATAGGCAATATTATGTGAATACAAAGACATTGTGGGGCCTACTTATGTCATTAGAGCAAAAAATCCATAACCAGTCCCCAAATCATCTTTGGCGACCTAGGGAGATTAAGTCTTTGTTCATATAATTTCTGAATCCTAATGAACTAATGAGACGTGAGTTAAGCTGGTAAACTATCATTCTTCCTTTGAATTTGTGGCATAACTCTCCATTTCCAAGAGAAAGTTGGTTGAAAGGAATTCGTGATGTGGTCTCATCGGAAACCAAAGGAGGATTATCGTGTATGGAAGACTGTTGAATTGTGCGAAGAAGTCCTCATCTCACCGTACTTCGAGACCGATGAAACCGTGCTAAGATTTCTTTAGAGCAAAAATCCATACTTTAAGAGATAGAGCAAAAATATTTTAAACCAAGAGGTGGCCAGCTGCAACCCTAGTCGCTTTTTTATACACCTGACATCGCGATCTTTTTAAGGCCTCCCTTGATTTGGTTGGCTACTTTAACTTTACTCTACTTGCTTGCAAATGAGTGAAGTTCGGTGGCAATTGTTTTATGACACAAAGACTAGCGTACAATCGCCTAATGGTGACTCATGTTTGGGTTTGTGCTATTGCTTATAGTGTGTATGTAATGCTCATGTCATG